CTTTACAGTAGTATCATCAAAAATCTGTGCTACCTCTTTACTCAGGTCTTCCCAAATAGGCTTCTGTCTTCCCAGTTCTACAGATTTACATGACCTAATGTTTGCACTGCCTATTACTAGTTTACATTCCTCCATATAACCTAGAGTTGCACAAATGCCCCAGACCTGCCAGTCTTGCTAGTGCGATCATAGTTACAGGTATCCTATTCTAACTGATCGATGAAAGACGGTTGCTATAATACAGATAATTATTTGAATTTGAAGGAAATAAATATGTGATGGTATTTCAAAACAGAGTAAATCCTGTTAGCTTGCAAAAGTTTCCTGTTGGAAATGGCGAGTATTGGGTTTCTGAAAGAGGTGAAGATGTCAGACCATACGGAATCTGTATTAAAAGAAAGTAACAATTACAATATATATAATACTTCTTAAGTGAGCATTTACTACAAAAAGTTACAAACCTACATTTCTATAATTGAAAAGTGTTTTGGTTAACTAGTTCATTTGATACTAATAGATTTAAAATTGTTTAATGCATATTATTTTGTTATCTTATTGTATACTTTATCAAACAGCATTGTTTTCAATAAAACTAGGATGCGAATGATCGAATTGCATCAAAAATAATATATGAATTAAATTTTTTTTATATTTTAGACATTATACTCAATACGACTTTGGTATCCAATGTAATTCTAAATAAGCTCTTTGTTTAAAGAATATGAATAACGCACTCTCTTAACTTGTGAAATATGATTTGCCAATTTTGACTTTCATTGTTTGGTTATTTAACGCTAATATTACAAACTGTTTTGAGCGAAAAAATAGACAAAAAAAAAGTTTATTAAATGCATCACTAATTTGAAAACATTTCATATAGTCTACTCTCTTGCTCTTGTCCTTGCTCTCGCTGAAGCTCAAATGAAAAAGACAAACTATTTGTAAAGTATTAACAAATATTTTCTTGTTATCTGGTTGATCCGCATGTGTGAGGTTGCACAAAATTCTTGGTCACATGATTTGAAACGTAACATAAACTACCCTAGATCGCCACCAAAATTTCACCTGCACGTGATTTAGATCCAATCACATTCCAGGATCAGGTGTAACGTAACACGAACAGGAAATTTCAAACCAAAAAAAATTGTATAGTAAACCATCTACTATGCATTAACAAAAAGTTTTCCTTGAGCGATTTTACTATTAAAGCTCCTCTAACCCTAACCTTAACATAGGCCCTAACGCTAACCCTATCCTAAACGAACTTTAAGAATTTTTTCGGTGCGTTCACATGATCACGTGCCGGTGAAAATTTTGGAATTTTGGTGGCGATCTAGGAAAAGATACGTAACATACAGTATAACAATAGGGCGGGCTTTCTCTGTGATTGGCTATTGTTCGTAGATCATTTTGGTGGTGGCGCAGCTCTTTCGTCCAATCAGAGATAGCATAGATCATTTTAATATTACGTATATGCGTTACAAATCGAACCAAAAAATTCATCGATTAACATTAATTGACTAATCGGCTTAGCATAGCCAGTAATTACAAGGTCAAAGTATGATACCACATATAAACTAGTCAACTAATCGATTAACTAACTAATCAATTAATCAGTTAATCGATTAGTTGTCTAATACTAGGTTAATGCGTAGCATTGTGTGTCCGGAGCCTATTATAATTTTGTAAAAACGTGTTTGTTTTTGTAACACC